GTATTTCTTGCAATTTAAAGCTTTCTAGCTAGCTAGACTTTCAGAAAAAACTCTCTAACCATAGAGATATTTCAGAAGAACAAAATGACTAGAAAGACTGCAAAACTTCCATGTTGAAAGATTAGTACCAAGGACACAGAACTGTAGACACTCAAAATGCACTCCATAACAACGTATGCAGAATGGCTCCCCTGCACCCAGTATTCATGTTTCTATACAGACACTCCTTAAATTTTAGGGTTAGTTTAAGATGACAGTATTTAAAAATATAATTGGAAGAATAGAATCTTCTTGAATAAGAATTTATAAGCAATAGAATCATCATTTCTTTTTTCATTTTTTCTACTTAATAAGAAACATAACTAGCACCTTAGTGGATGAAGTAACTAAAATAACTTCTTACAAGTAAAAATGTAGCAAGATAACTAAGAGCTTATCTATGTCTTGTATTTGTCAGACATTACAGAAAATGTTTGGTGTGCAACAGCACACTTCAGTAAATAGACCTTTTCTGAAATGGTGGACTGCAAATAGAACTATCGTGCTGATTAGAAAATAGATGCCATGTGACACTGCAGAGTGTAAGAGAATGAATGGTGTTAAAAAGCCTTATATCAATTAACATACAGTGGAGGGAAGGCTGACACTTTTCAGCTAATATTTGGGTGATTTTAAGACCAAATTTTAAACTAAACGTTTAGCTCTAGAAGCCAAAAGCTTAGTCCCAATTCAATGGCATTTAAAAAGCTAACAAGCAGAATGCCACACTTGCACTCAACAGTTTGTTCTCCACATTCATTCTCCCCACATTAGGAAGCGAAGACAAACAGATGAGAAAGCCTCCAGGTGACATGACAGAGGACTGAGCAAAAACAGAACATTTCTATTTCTTACAAGATATACAGAAAGCCAGGAAACCAGTTTTAAAAAAAATAGCCAATCAGTGATACAGGGAAATAAAATGAGCATTTTATTTATAGTAAGATCTGCCTTCTCTCTCTGATGATTCTTTTTACAAAGGGTGCAGTCTCACAGGTATTCCAAGCAACATAATATCTAGTCAGTGAAGAAATAAAACTTGCAGCTCAAAAAAAAAAAAGTCTCACTATATCTTCCATCTTACTTCCATTATTTTATTCCAGCCTGCAAACAAGTGTTTTCAGTTCTGTTTGGTTTTGCTTCTATAACATACATACTGAAGAACGAGAGATTTCTACTGAAGTCCCCACACACCCCCATTTTCCCCTCCTCCCCTACCAGCATAACTTACCTATGATTAGGATTATCCTTTAGGAGACTACTACTACCCTTAGTGATTTCTCTATTAGCCTACACCCAATTAGTGAACCGCTTTTCTTTTTGAAGAAGAGAAGCCTGGAACCCACACTGCCCGAAGCCAAACATAACACAAAAATGCTAGCTCCTGAGGGTTTTTTGCAATAAAGAGAGCATCCTATGAACTCATTTCCTAGCTTTAAAAAAAGTTAGGCTATGGTTTATACTGAACACACACTGGGATAGGATAATTTAAGAGGACTCTAAGCACACCCACTGAACAAGTGTAGGCAGGGATTTAAGTAGCTTCACTAGCAAAATCTGAATCACCTACACATCCACCAGAGTTTTGTTACTTAACATGTCCAGAGAAACAAGACACCTTGATATAGATGCCAAGATACCCTGCTGTGTCACACTTCAGTGTATTTGTTTTTTCTCTGGAAGGGATTTTGTAAGTCACTCTAAAATTCTAGTGCCAAACCTCTGTGTCCAAAAGAACTAAGGGCCTAGCAGCCTACAAAAGTGAAAGTCTAGAAAATACCTTTAATGAAATTAGTTGTGGAGTAAAGTATACATAACAGAATTTAGTCTAAGTTGTGATAAGACCTGGAAACTAAGTTACTCTGGTGGCAGTGGACCCAGTAAATCAGTTTAAAATACATGGCTGATTAACATATTTGTTAACAAGAAACCCATAAAGCTGGATATAAGGTATTCCTCTTTCTTTGTACAAGGTATATGACCAGCACAGAGCTTTCTGCCAGTACTTCCTGCCCTCCGTCAGTCAAAGCACTGCACAAACCATAGGAAACAGCTATAAGAGTATTCATCTAATTCTGCGTTCTAGGCAGGTGACTCAGGAGGACTACAAGGATGTTGTGAGGATATGCAGGGAGAAGATCAGAAAGGCAAAGGCGCAGCTGGAACTTAAACTGGCCACCGCCGATCAAGACAACAAAAAAAGTTTTTATAAATATGTCAGTGACAAAAGGAGGGCCAGGGAGAATCTCCCTCCTTTGTTGGATGCAGAAGGTAACCTTGCCACAATGGATGAGGAGAAGGCAGAGGTACTTAATGCCTTCTTTGCCTCTATCTTTAATAGTCAGACTGGTCATCCTCAGGGTTTTCAGGCCCCTGAGCTGGGAGATGGAGATAGGATGCAGAATGAAGCCCCAGTTGTTGAAGAGGTGGCAGTCACTGACCTGCTCCTCCACCTGAATGCTCACAAGTCCATGGGGCCAGATGGGATCCACCCGAGGATACTGAGGGAGCTGGCAGAGGA